TCTCCCCGAAAGGCGCTTGGAACGGGACTTGCGATAAACGCCCCGCCGGGGTCGGCTCCGAGTTACGGGGGAGCGCGGTCTACGAGCCCGGTGCGCTTCCCCAGCTGCCGTGGAGCCCTTCGGGGGCTGTGGGCGGTGGTGCCGGCTTTAATTAAACGGCTGCCGGGCTTTCTGCAACGCTCGGCCGAGCTGGCCCTAATGAGCAGCTGGGCCCTGCTTCGTTACCGCGCGGTTTTAGCAGCCCAGGGGAGAAGGAGGCGCAAGTTACCGGCCGAGGGCGGACGGGCCGCCACCCGAAAGCCAAAGGGCGAGATTTCGAAAAGTTTGTAGGTGTTTCCCCCAGAACAGCCACGAGCTGTAACCGGCAGCTTGTCGTTCGAGCCGGGTCGGCAGACCGAACCGCCTGTAGCGTCAAGCCAGCCGTACGGATGCCGTTGACTACGTGCAGCCCTTTCCGGAGCAAAAATCGTTTCATACTGGCATTGTTCTGCGTATTTTTCTTCAGTGCGTTTTCAGAGAGTACCACGGGGCTTCTGCGTCTTAACTAGTCTTGCAGGGACTCTCTCTGTCAAAAGCTTTCTTAACATCAAGAGAAAAAGAGCTTCCACTTAGTTTTCTTTGATCAAAAGCCAAGAGCATTTTGTCAGCCAAGGCAGATAAAGCATTTGTAGTGAAGTGCGAGAGCCTGAAGCTAGATTATTTTACAGTTTTATTTTGATGTCAATACAGCATTAGCTCTAGGAAGAGATGGTATTTTCTACCCTGCCACCAGCAGCACAGCGGTAAATCCGCACACTCCGTAGCGTTACCAGGTTTCTGCTCTGATTTCAGAGGGCAGGTCGAAGGATCTGATCTTGATCTAGACAGCAGCATAAACCTGTGGCACCGGGACAAGAACCAGGCCTCCTTGGAAAGCCCTCATCCCAGAGAAAAAGAGTCTGATTACAGTAAACTCCAGTACAGGCACTAATACTAGTGCCAAAGCAGCCAGGGGAAATTTTTATTTCTTAGAAGGCACGTTAGTCTGGCATCGTTTGTCCTCTTTTGTTTCTATTCACTCCTAACATCTATAGGTCTAGAGTAGTTACAGATCATAACAGAGTGGTTCTGAAAATATACTCCAGACTGCTAGAAATAGAAGACTGCACGATGTCAGCAGGTTTATTTTTCTCCTAGGTACTCAAGGGAACTTTGATTTAAGGACTGGGTCTGAATAGCACAGGTTATCTGGTAGGATGCAAAGTCTCTACAGAAACAACACAGCCAAGCAAATACACGGCATCAGGGAGCTGTTTCATTTGTTTGCAAGGCTAAACCCCATGTCACTGAAGAAAATTAACTGGTTATACTGAACGTGGGTATTGCTCACTCTGGATGTTAATTAATTTGATTTTCAAAGCAGTTAAAAGAAGCCTCAGTATTCAAAGTGTGCAAAACTATGGGAATATATTTCACAGGCAGATCCATTTCTTCAGAAAAGGTACATTTAGAAAATAAAATGTCACTGAGGAAACCCAACTTTAGGCTACTGTGGTTTGCCTACAAGTTTGTACTACAAACCACAAGTGGTGGAAGCGTTTAGTTCTTTCTTACAGATATACAAGGAGAATTTTTATAATTCACAGCCCCTTTCAAGGTGCTTTCAAACCCCACCATTTACCTTTGTCGCTTTATTCCAAATAGCTAGAGGCAAAATCCCCTTGTTTTGGCTGAGTAAATATGTATTCTGGCTCTGCCCCAATTACAGGAACCACACAGGAGATGCACGTGGAAACAGAAGGCCCGGCGATGACAGCATCTGTGAGAGTCTCGCTGATCCTAATGAGAAACTGCGAGCCTGGGAAGGAAGAGGCTCGCAGATGTGCTGTTTCATCTAACTGATCTGCTGACGCATGGTGCTGGTGCACTCTGGACAAACTTTGATGCTTGTTTCTCTACTGCAGGTAAGTATTTCTGCAGTAGTCATCATCCGGCTGCCTAGCCCAGACTGGCACGTAATGACTAGCCACAGCAAACTGATGTTATCACTGGAGCTTGCCAGAGCATGCAGAGCATTGTGTTAAGAAACTACCTTTGACATGGTCTAAAATAAAGTGTACCAGCTCACACAAATGTAAAATTTAAGTGTCTGTTCCTTTGCTTTTCCACATTTAAAGACATCCACAGCAGCTGCAAAAAATCCGTGCCTCCTGTAACTTGGACAGCGCATGCGGTGCACATTGCTGTTTGCCCCCCACACCAGCAGCACTTGTAACTGCATGGAGCAGCCTTCTCGGTCCACCCCCACTGCGAGTGCCTGGGAAAACAGGCAGGCTTTGCAGCATGCCCAATAGATTAACCAAAGCCAGCTGTCATTACTATATATGGGTAAATCGTGGCCTGCACGCCTTTCATCCATAGGAATCCTAAAGTCCCTATAAATGGTGCAGAAGAGAGACCCATTCACCAACCCCAAGTCCCAGTAAATTGTTCATGTCCCATGGGCATCCACAGCTCCATGGGACAAGGGAAACCTGCGGAGCCCTGCCCGTGCAGATGCTCTGCCAGATCTCGGAGTGATCCTCATCTCCCTGGAGCTGTAGCAGCAGCCTCTTCCCCACAGTTACTACTTACAGGGATGTAAGGAGGATTTTTGTAACTCACAGCACTTTGCAAGATGCTTTCAAACCCCAACATTTGCCTTTGCCTTAAGAGCACCACAGCAGCAGCAGACCTCCACCCCCAGGTAACTGCCAGCTGGTGTCAAATAATCCCCTAGGCCTTTCCCTCCCTCCTAACTCACATGAGCAGAAAAGCAACATTAAAACGCATTACTATTATGTGCATTACAATATTATATGCATTACACTGACCTAGCCTCCCAGCGTCATTTATGTGGGGCACACTCAGGTTTGAAGCAGGCTGCAGAACTCAGCCTTGGCTATCAGAAATGGTGGTCTAAGAAGGAAAGTGCCAATTCCTAGAGGGCATGGAGAGAAAGAGTGCGGGGCACCCCTGTCCTTCCAGCTTGGAGTGAGGTTGGATACTGATTGTCATCACAAGCACTGCCACGTGCCCTGCCAAGGCTCTGCTGGCCATTTGGGTAAGATCAGATATTTATTTTGGTCTGAGAAACTGCACAAGGGAAGAATGCATGAGGCCCCTTGAAAAGCTTAGCAAGAGAAAGGAGGTTTCTTTAAAGAACAACACTCTGAGCTGATGCCAACTTTCCAAATGAGCCACGGGACAGTGACTCCTAACGTAGGCAAACGAGACCCCTTGGATGGATCTGAGCAGCTCCAGATCAAAAAGTAAAACAAACAAAGGAAGAAGAGATCTGATGTTGTGGCTGCGTGTCCAGAGATTATCCAGTAATTTAGTATAATAAAGCCTCTTAACCAAGTGGATAAGCTTAGAAGCCATTTCACAATCAGCTCACTATGTAAGGCAGTTTCTTATCTCTAGGAAAAAAGTCCTTTTAAGCAGTCAAACATGCTAGATGAATATGCTAAATAATTCAGAGGAGATTGTTATGATAGGCTTGGTCCATCTCCTTCATAACAAAAATCACTACTTTCAAGGAAAATATAGTGCTGAAGGATTTGCTTATCTTGCAACCGCAAATTAATTGATGTGCCGCTGGCTGAACTTGCAGAGACCTTACACTGTGCTTAGTTCCATTTTTCCCTGCTCCGTTGTGCATAACTATGAAATTGCTTTTGAACTGAGCCATTTCAGGAGTTTTAGTCCCTCCATGCAAGGAAAACTGCCATGCACTTACACGGTCAGTAGAAGCCGTAAGAGCTCATCCCACCTTAGCTTTACCCGGCTTCCTGGCACAGGGGCAGGATGCTGATGCACGGAGGGAGAAAGGAGCGTGTCCGGGTCCCCGGGGATCGCAAGGACAGTGAGTCTGTGGGACAAGACACAGAGGCTGCCAGGAGCCTGCAGGGAAGGCAGCCAGAAGCTGCACGGCTATACATTCCCCCCCCAGGGGGTACACACACACCATATAGGAGCCAGCGGTGCACACTGAAATATGCTCCAGCTGGGCAGGAGGTCAGAGAAAGTTCAGAAATCCCACAGGCGCCAGCACAACGGGGACGGCGTTTCGGCAACTCTGTCTCCGTGAATCAGAGCTTTCCTGGTGCTGCCACGGGCAGCTGCTCCCAGGTCTTCCCAAAAAGACCGGGTCAACGCGCAGAAACCATTCCCAAGCTGAGCATATTCAATTTGAAAAGTCAGTAACAACCACAACTCTGTTTTTCTACCCTTTACCCTCCACAAACCCGCTGACCAGTCTCTAATCCCTCTCAACCCTTTCAGACCAGGGCTACCTCTGGCTACTGGATTCGCAGACATCAAACATCGTGGGTGTCAGCAGCCAGCTGTGGTTTTGCCATCAGTTTTCAACACGAACACATGTTAAATCCAACGCAGCTATGAAACCTGTGTTGCAAGAGAGTCTCAAAGTCTCTTAACACATTCGAGGTATATCTGCTGCTTTTTACAACAAGCAGTCGCCCGAGGCTCCCAAACAGCTCTTGCAGGGCTTTCATGAAGTCGCGAGTCCCGCAGGTCCTTTCCGGGAATCCTCACCAGCCTCATTACCTCCTTGCACACTTAAATAACGCAGAAAGTTCAGGACAGTAAGTCATCTGCAGGAGCAGCAGCAGCAACTGACTTCCCATGCATGGCAGGGATGCTGCAGTGCCGGGGCTGATCCATGAAAATGGAAATTGCTGCAGGGTTTATGCTTTGCCACATCCTAAATAGTTGAGTGGGCTGGATTAGCAATCCAGTATAAGTGTGCTGGACAAGACATTGTTTCCAGTAAGAAAATAATTTCAGAAGGGTTGACCGACTCATGAAGACATGCTGTTCTCACTGATGCAGGTGTGGTGGGTGGTTAGAAATACTCCTCCTTCATTACGAGTATTCCTCCCAAGCCTCAACTAAGCAGCAGAAATATCTGTTAAGGAAGAGCAATACTGCACGTCTCCTAATAATG